CACGTTTTTACGAGAACTGCTAGTTGTTTCTTTCGTTTATGCATCGCTTGACGCATCAGCTCCATAGACCCGTAACTAGAGTTACCATCGCGAGTGTGGTTTTGGTCGAATCACGTGGGTCAGTTTCATATTATTAGAGGTGTTTGTGACTCATCATATCTTTCAACATTTAGGTCACTTCCTCCATCCGCTCTGAGTTAACCACTTCCTGTATAACACCTTGTTGACTTCCGGTGAAGCAGCTTTTTCCACCTAAACGCCAGCACGATGCAGCAACCCAACAGTGTGATGGGATAGCCAATGCCTAGCTCTTCACAGAGCACTTAATTGCAATTAACGGAAGGAACACCGGAACCACTGCACACTGAGGCCAGTCTACTAAGAGAGGTTAGGTTTAATTAGAGGAAATTACTCCGCAGAATCAGAGTAATCAGTAAAATGTATCGGAGTCGTCAGGAGGGTCGAGCCGTCGTGAAGAATGCCGATATGCCTGAGGATATGCAACAGGACGCCGTTGAGGTGGCCACAACAGCCATGAATCGCAACACCGTCGAGAAGGAGATCGCTGCGGAGATCAAAAAGGAGTTTGATCGACGATTTAATCCAAATTGGCACTGCATAGTGGGCCGAAGTTTTGGCTGGTATGCACCCTTACACTTCAATATATTTAGTTGCCCTTACTTTATACCGTCAGGATATCATAATGGAACCTCTAACTTTCGTAGATTGAAATGAAGTTAACATATGTTTTCGACTACTGCTACGTACAAATTCCTTCTTTAGACCTCCAACTCATCAGCTTTTTCAGACATTAATAGCTCCTAACAAAATTATAATTGGCAGATTGGGTATCTATTATAAGGATATGAGTAGTCGATGAAATCGAACAAACTCGAAATGCCTTTGTAGGTTCCCTTATCGATGCACTTGTTTCTAGCAAGTTTGAATAATTTATTTTATTTAATCCGTTTGTGATAGACTCAGTGTGTAAGTGAAATGAATTATTAATGTCTGCCAAATTCGCCTGTTTATTAAATAAACCTGTTAGTCGTGGATTATTGCTTTGTTTCTTAAGAAGAGTTGCTTGGTCCTAAATGCGATCATACTCACGACTTCCAATCAGGGATTGTTAACTAAGGTGTTTACCGCACTGATTGTATTCAACCCTTGACTCCACAGTCGTATGCTTGAACCTAAGCAAGGTTTTCACAGATATATCAAATGAAAGGATATCTTCATTCAGTTTGTGATCTTTGAATGACGATTGTTCGGGAATCGTCAACAACTTTACTACCTAGGCATCTGCATTTTTTTATCTCCATTGAGCGATTCAATGCACGAAAAAATCTGATGGTAAACCTGCTGAAGATAGACACGCAAAGCAAATACATACAGAAAGAATTAGAACGGCGCTCGGTCCTTTTAGATATTGCATTCTGTTGCACATGTAAAACTCTGTGAAGAGTTCCACGTCAGTGAACTGGAAACGATCAACGGGTTCCATTGACTTAACAGTGATCCTAGAGTCTACGGTAGTCACTGTCTACATTGTAAACACCTGTTTGGTCATTTTTATACGGAAACTTTTTGTATATTTCTGATGTAACTGTCTGCGCACAATTGTATGTTGATTACTACACACTATTTGTCAAGTGTCAGCGATCCTCGAGCCCTCGTTCTTTCGCGTCTGGTAGGCGCAACCCAAATCTAACTAATGCAAGGAACCGACTAATGACCTGAGAGACACCTTCTTGACCTGCGGCATCGCCCGTTAACATTTCAGTTCTGCAGCATGTTCTATTTGGATTAACCCGTGTTCGTAAGCTTTGACAAGTATGCGGGGCGGCTATTGTATCTGAAAGTTCACTGGACTTATTGAAATGTAATAAACTTCTTTTCGGTCAACGACAATAACTGAAAACCTATTAGCTGCTTGGTTGCAGGGAACCTATACCCCATACACGCGAACACTTCCTATGTGTTGGTTTTAGTTGCTCTACCTGATTATTAAAACTCTTTTAAACTGCTTCCTGGATCTAGCCTTTCTATATATGACTATAGTGGCAATCATTAAAACACTAAGAATCATATAAATCAGTAAGAGGTTTAGGGAACAGTGGTTTTAATTGATCTGTTCCTTATGCGTAGCCTTCTGATACGCCACCCAATATCATAAACAACAAACAAAGCTTCTTTAGCGTTAGCCCTATAGACATCTGCGGATGATTAAGAAGGACATACTTTCAAACGGTCAATAAATTATCTATATGGATTACCGCACAAACAGACTGCATTGTTAGTTGAAACAAGGAGTGGACTCCTTGAGATTAACTCATTGTCTCTTCATGTTGATGATATTTTCCTCAGAACCATTACAGTTATCAACTTAACCCCTTACCTTTTTCTGTTTTAGCTATGTAACACACGAAACGAAGTGCTTCATATACTTCCTCATGGGACAGATGGCAGTTCTCCTCTTTAAATCGGGCTAAGTCTCGCGTTTTGGAGGAAACTTGTGCCATAGGACTGCATACTTCTCTAGACCAAAATGTATTTGATCGCATGTTCTCTATTTATTCCAGTAAATCAAGTAAAGATTGTTTTAAAGGTAAATCTTGTCATTATTTTCATTGTGTCAGATCCCACTCCGTGAACCTTCGTGGCATAACTTTGTTGGATACTGCGTGATAAGCATGCACTCAAAGGTGGCCATCCAGGGTAGTAGGCAAATAGTTCTTGGGGAACATACACGTTTTATGAATACGGAGATCAAGAAAATTAAACGCAACTCCCTAATGACTTTTTAATAAGACTGAAGGTGTCGCTTATGTTTGCAGCCTTTACAAAGCTGCGAAGGGTATCGCACTACTATAGACAAAATCACAAAACATATATATTTTTGGATAAAAAGAAAGAAAACCTTCGGAAAACCGAGTCGGACTCGTGAATTTTCGAACATGTATCACCTGTTCGTCGTCAGACTAAATTAAGGGCTGGAAATGTCGCACTAGAGGTTTTGGGTGCAGAGGTTACATTTAACTGGGAATAATTGGGGGATGGGGGAGTTACGGTGACGCGAATCCTGCGGTGATAGGTTCTGCATATGAGGGGAGGTGTTAACGTTTGGATTGTGGGCCACCTGTTCGGGGTGGGGGGATGCAGAATCAGCGAAGTTCTACTTGACCGAGCACGGAAAGCCTGCTGTTGTTTCAGGCTGGGCGCAGGTTAGTGGACCATGTGCGCAAACCGACATAGTGTAAATCAAAGTCCACATGCCTGTTAATACTGGCTGGGCTCGGGTGCTAAGCTTCGAGGAATTCCCTCGCTTGTTTCGTGGTAGCCATGGCAATCACCTCGGTCCCATCCCAAATGAAGCGGTGTTCACACTCAAGGGAGTGCTCAAATACGAGTGGTATGTTTTAAATCTCTGCGGACACTAAAGAGAAGTCCTTGGAGCGTAGATCGCATGCACACGCCCCCTTTTGCTAGCTGCACCAGAGTATCAAAGACTTACGTTCAAAAGATCGAGAATTATCACTGTTTCATAGTTCTTCAGGATGAAAATCTAAAAGTGTAGCAGTACGATTGCTTTATTTTGCTCACAGATCCTTCACTTTCCCAGCGTGTGTTTTTGAAAGGATGTCAGGATCTTAAGGATCGCATTACTGAAATGATTTATCCAAATTAAATAATTGTTTATTTCCGCTATTCTCGAAAATGTCATAGCCTTGTCATTTTTTTAAAATGCACTGTGTTTTGGTCATCTCGATGCAAGCAGCTAGGGCACCTACGACATTTAGAAATGGTGGTAAAGTGAATACTACTTCAAGGTGTAAGCCCGGAAGTAGACAGTTTCTGTATAAAAGCTGGCTTTGCGCCAAATTTCTTGGAATTGGATTTTAGGATGACGGTTACTATGAAAATTGTGATTAAGGTTATAATAAGGACTAGATTTACGGCAAGGATTAGGGTTAGTGTTAGGTATACGGAAAAAGAGTAATTAAACTTACTCATACAAAATGCGAAAATTTTCGAACGATTGCTAATCCACTGCCAACCGGCACTGAAATAATAATAAACAACGTTAAAGGAATTTACAACTTAAAGGAAAGAGAAAAAGTAACACTTATTTTCAAAAACGTGCCAGTGATTCGGCATACTGTTATTAAGAAAGGACAACCCTGTGAGGGCTGAATCGAACAAATAAGTTAGCGAAATTGGCTCACTGTAGCCGCGATATAAAATTGGGCTAAAATTTAGTTTCGGCAGTTTGAAATGTCATCGATGTACATTCATCTTCAAGTTGAGTACGTGAAAATAACTCACGGATGATGTTTCGTTGGTATGAGGGGAGGAATGTCTCGTACACAAGAGGGCTGTGATATGATGGCCATAGGTTTAGACTATTTGGCTACACAACGCGATTCAGGTCGGAAATGAACTTTTACGGCCGAGATTAAATAAAGACGTCCAACTCGGTTCGTGACAAGGTGTTGGCAACCGTGCCTCCCTATCCGTGGGCACGACGAGGGACACAGGGAAACAGTAGGGTGAAGCCGAATTGGAAGTTGCTGAAAATGGTGTCAAGTCATCCGTAGCATGTCGGGGCAACCAGTTTGTTGGATTCTTAGCAGTGTTTGCGCTAAAATCACTGCTATCATCAGGTCGATCCAGGGTTCTTGGATATGGCAGAAGGCATACGAATGTGGGATTAATAGTCCACAGAACCCTGGGCTGATCCCTCATGCAGCAGGGGCCACATGCCAAATGGAAATAACAGTACTTTTTACTATAAGTTGCCTCCTTAATATGCGCTTCCTTAAGATATTCAACTAAAGGATAGTTGTGAACTTTAACGTTTGCGAGTGTAATACCAAAGTATCAGTTAGAGTCTTTGACCATTATATGGCTTCTCCAGAGAACTTGTACAAATCATCCTCTGAAAGCGAAATAGCATTTTTTGACCTATATTCTTTCGATGTTAGAGCCTGTTCTTAGACTACAAAAGAACCAAACCATGGCTGAATATATACAAAGGTTATTGAAAAACCGCTTATTTTCTGTTCGCTCCGTTATTTAGCTAATCACTAAAGAAAACAGCATTTTATAAAAAAATTATCTTGCCGCTTTTTGTAATTTAACCCATTTTTACGGTAAAATATGCGCATTTTGATTACAATTCCGATTCCCTGTGTAGAAAAATGAAATACGGTCAAATACGTTAACTTTTGCATGCTAGGGCAAAGGCAATCGGACGTTGCAAAACAAACAAAAATATTTAAACCTAAATTTGTCCCGTGTTTCTGGAAAACGGAGCACGATTCCTAACCCATGTCTTAGCCCAATTTTCATGGACGTAAACTGAGCGTTTCTGGTCTCATAATGAAATTATATGAAACTTTTCTTGCTTTTACTAGTGTTCTTGTATAGTACAACGCAACAAAGCTTATGTTATGCCGTAGTATATAATATCGGAAAGTGCTGGGATATCCAAGGACCGCCGATTGCGCTCAAATACCCCTGCTCGAAGATGCAAGTTTCTTTTTAAAAGGTTTTCTGAACCTCAACTACAATCATAAAATCAAAATAACAAGACCAAGTGTATGCTAAGCTACTCACTCGTATTTCGATCACTACATTGCATGACCTAGGTCACCTACTATAGTCCGTTCCGCATAAGTTGGCACAGAATTATCCATAACAGGGGCATACCTGTTTCGTTTCAATATTGATTA